CTGCAAACCCTGCTCACTGCAGAATCTTAATGCGCTGTGGTATGAGGCCTTTGCTTAGCTGCAAACAAGACCAAATATTTGAGTTTGGAATCTGTATACCAGTAATGGTTCTTAAATCCTATAGCTCATTTCTGGAGAGAAATCACAATAAGGTACAGATCCGTAACGTAGCTGTAAGCTAAACACTAAATCAAGTGTACTTTTTTTACCTAAGCTCATACTTTGTGGATTCCTGAAGAGAACCTTTACCAAGAATTTCTTTTCACATGTCTGGGCTTTGCCAGGAAGAAGCCAGAGGGTTTTTTTATTGCAAAAATTTTCTTAGAGAAGCACTTTAAGGGACTTCAGGAATAGGATTAATAAGATTGGTAGATACTGCATGTTCTGGGTATTGGCTAGGTAATTCCAAAGGGTTGAGGGTTGCGGTTGCATACTATAGTTTAGCAGCTTGGTGGAAAGTGAGGGAAGAAATACATAGAGAAAGTTTATTAGAGAAAGTTCTAATGAGTGTGTGTGTATATGTATTCTAAAAAGAATTTATTCTGGATGAAGAGTCAAAAAATGAAGTCTTTTTTGCAGGTCATGTTCTAACGCTTGTTTCTGCTTCTGTGTCTGTCTGGGTATCCATGTCAGCAAACTGTCAGAAGCCTCAGTAAATTCTCATAGAAAACAAGTTATTAATCTGGAAAATTACACTGAGGTGGTTACTGACTGTAACTTTATGTTAACAGTATTTGGCTTAGACTAAACTTGTGGTGGTGATGCACTTCCTGAACTGAACTATTTATGGTTGTGAGAACACAAGAACATCTGGTTTGTATTTGTTATTTCATATCAGGTGTAGTAAGTAAGGTGCCACAGCTCTTTCAGTAGTGATACTTTGCATGAGATTCTGTACAATGCAAGGTGTATGACAGTAATATACCAAGTTTCCTTAAAATTAAAGGGTGGAGAAGTCTGGAGACTGAACACTTTGCTAAATGTTTTGCAGGTTGGACAATCTGCTCAACATGGCTTATGGAGTAAAGAGGTAATAAAGGACTAGAAGGTTCATTATAACCAAATTATTGTTAAGCATTTTGCATACTCTTACTTTTCCAGTAAGACTGATGTTGAATTCTTGCATGTTGAGACTTCAGTTGAAATTGTTCATTTTGGTGCATTGTGCTTGACAGGGACAAACCTTTTGCAGCAGTTCCATAAGATTCCTTTTTGAAATGACTTTAAAATCCTTGCTGGTTTCATAGCATGCTTTCCTTTTGGTTTTCTTTGTTACTTCATTTCAGACAGACCTAGCAATGTTCCTCCTACTTGTGCCTATATATTGTACATAGTATTTGTGCAGCTAGGGAAAAAAAACACACATATTTGCAATCTTACCTTACTAGTCTGGCCAACATGTTCATGTTGTGAAAAGCGCTGTATAATTTTCTTTTTTAGTTTGAAATGTCTTTGCTGGGATTTCCTGTGAATAGCTACTTTATGATTCAATTTTGTTTTCTGCCATTCTTCAGTAGGTTTCCTCCAATGACCATTGATGGAATGACCAGTTTGGCTGGAATTAATATCCCTGGACATGCAGGAACTGGATGGTGTATTTTTGTATACAATCTGGCCCCTGATGCTGATGAGAGTATCCTCTGGCAAATGTTTGGACCCTTTGGAGCAGTAACCAATGTGAAGGTCATCCGTGACTTTAACACTAACAAGTGCAAAGGATTTGGATTTGTGACTATGACAAACTATGATGAGGCAGCTATGGCAATAGCCAGCCTGAATGGATACCGCCTTGGGGACAGAGTATTGCAGGTCTCCTTCAAAACAAACAAAACGCACAAAGCCTAACAAGTTATTCTCAGTGCATTAATACATGAAAACTATACAACAACGGCAATTTACAAGAAGCTTTATGCATTAGTAAATGCCTTTGTTGTATGTCAGTGTGGATATGGGGATAAAATGACTACTTAGCATCCTAAGAATATGTGAGATTTTTTATTGCTAATATTTGAATTAAAAGTTCTTAAATATCTTTTGTGTTTGAATATTGAAAAGAGGTACAGGGTTTTTACCTGTTACAATGCATATTCTATTGCCTTCTTTGAAGAAGGTGGACCTTTTCAAATGTTTCAGCTGAGGAAAGAAGTTTTTTGTTATTACATGACTGCCTTTTAAAATATAAGTAAATATTGAGGCTTTGTGTTATACTTTTTAACTTTTTTTATTTTATTTGCCTTGTGTTTAACATAACGTTTTGATGCATTGCTGTTTTGTTGTTCAAGAAAAGTATTTGAGGTTTACATTTTATTTATAAAGTTATAAGCAGTATTTATTTTATAATTATCATTTGGGTTGGGGAATGGGAACACATTATAAAAGCTTATTGTAAGAATACTGGAGAACTTTTCGTAAAGCAGTACCTTGCCAAAGAGATAAGAGCCTCTTTGATGTGGGTTTAAAAAAGCATCTATTTTTATAAGAAAAAAAAAAAATTTGGAGAAACTTTTTACTGGTCCTGGAACAAATATTTTGACTTGAATACTTTGAGAAATCTCTGCATATGACACCTAGTGAGCTTTTAAAACTTACCAGGAAATTTGCAGTTGTTGGGGAAAATTTAGAAAGTTTTACGATGTAAAAATACTTTTGAGACCTTTGTATTAAGAAGTAGAGACAGTGGGAAGCACTGTTGATTTCATTTTTGTAATCATCAGTGGAGTCTTTGATCATCCTGGTTATAAAGTGATAGGCGGCTCACGTTGATTTGTGCTTTTGAAACAAATGAAAATTAAAAAAAAAAGAATATAAGACCAAGCAGGAAACTTAAAGTACTGAGACATGGGGGAAAAAAAAAAATCTGTTCTTCCTAAAGAATTCCCTTCAGATAGAGCTCATGGTGTTTAGTGATGTACTTGCTATTGTTTGAAGAATTGTTTTGTCTTAAGAAAAGACATTGAGCATGGTTTGTGCAGTAGCAAATCATCAGAAGTGGTCTGAGTTGGGTATATTTGGAGGTATTTTGAAAGTTATGTTCAAGGCTAACACCTGAGCTTTGTGTAATGTAAATAAGACCTTGAGTTATGAACCTTTCAGCTAATTTTTATTTTAGTTTATTTCTTAAGTTACATGCCAAATGTTGTTCAATTTTGAAATGTATGAGTTTTTTCTTTGTAAATGGCATTAACATTACTTGAGGTCTGCTTACTCATTTTTGTTGTCCTGAGGACTTGAATTTACAGTGCATCAGATCTGTTGCTATTTTTGTCTGTAGATAGTCTAGCTTCAGCTGTTTATGGTGATGCTACATTTTTGTTTATAAATATGTTTGTGGTAAAAGACAAGTATAATCATAGGTTTTGAACAAACTTCCTTACATTTTTCATACAAAAACCATAAATACCTGTATGCTATTGAAATTTAACTTTGTATGATGCTTAAATCACTATTTGGGGAAATAGAAAAAGTCTTTACCATGTATTGAAGAAATTTAAGAAAAAAAATACAGGATATTTTCTGATTAGCAACTAGCTTATAATTAAATTAAAAAAAAAAAAAAGCTGAGGGTTTAATACCTTCACCAGGATGCACTGACAACTATGTAGTTACGTCCTGCTTTTTGTATAAACTGAGATGCTCATATGCTTCCCCTTAGAAAAAGCAATGTTCTATGCATAACATAGTTGTACGCTATCTTTGCAGTTGCTTTTCGTTCTTACTCTTTTAAATTGTAGTTATAAATTTTTCAGTATAGTACAGTACATATACTGTGAAGCGCGTGCTAAAGTGAGTAAGCGAGTTTTCATGCTGACCCACTCAATGCTATTCAAAAATCAATTGGCTTCCTGAGCACTTCCTCATTCTTAGGTGCATTTAGATTGTTAAAGCTAATCCTCTGCATTAAAAATTGTATATACTATAGAAATCACGAACTTTCCAATGTGAGAAAAACAGTAGCTACATGCTTCTTTCCTGCACTACTGTAGCAACTAACTGCATTGATGAGAAGGCATGTAAATTGAGCTTCACTTTACAGTGTTTACTAGAGCACTTAGTAAAATATGCGGCTGGTATTTATTTGAAGTTGTATAGTATGACTTAATTCACATCTGTTGGAATAGAAAATATATTCTGTTGAGTATTTAAGAGGTTGTACATGTTTTCTTTTGTGTTTGAATCCTTTGTACTTTTTCATGTTCAGTACATCAATAAACAAAGTTGAAGGGAAAACAGTGTGCTGAGCAGGTCTTTTACCATTCTGTCCTCTGCTTTAATGCATAATCAATCTGAGTGAAAGCTTTCTGCAAAGCTCTTAACTTAGGGCCCTAGTTACCAGCAAGGAGGTAAGACAGTGGAGCTGTGTACTAGTTCTGTTATGTTAGAATTACTGTAAAATCTTCTCACTTTGGTTTTATATGAACTACTCAGTACTTCGGCTGATACAATAAATGAAGGTCATTAAACGCATTCAGTAAAACTTAATTTGCTGTCTGTCCAGCAGACTGCAATTCGCTGTAGTTAAGATAATACCCCAGTGTGTTAGGATAAATACAGAGGAGAGGGAAGGATTTACTCCTTATTGCAATGTCCATTTGCTGTTTAATTACTGCATTAATTTTTGGGTTCAATTAATTGTGTGGGTATTCAGTTAACCATAGTTTGATGTTTTTTGCCCTTCCTAGAGCTCTTGAAGAAATTCTTAAAAAATTAGTCAACTGTCTCTTGCCCGTTTAAAGTATATATACTTCTAAACTTGTTTGCTTTTCTCAATGGAATGACAGCAAATTTTCACCAGTAATAATACAATTCCAAAAGGGGCTTATGCAGTACAGTTTATATTTTTTACTGCTTTACCTTCTCTTTAACAACTTTACTGTGAGATTTTTTTTGACACAAAACTTTGTACATGTGTTGTGTGGAGCATTTCCCTTCACTACAGTGTGATGTAGTCAAGTTTACTTGCGTGATGGAGTTGTAAGTCCATGAACAACATGCATAGATAGTAGTACCTCAAGCTGCCAGTCATAACCAGTGTTAACAAATTGGCTTTTTATATTTACCTACAGAAGTAGTGTGTACTTGTGACTTTTTATACAGTTATGTTCTTTGGCAGCTGGAGTAACAAAGGGATGCAAGACGCAGTGCTTGGCAGCAAATGAGGAGCTGTATTTGGAGTTCCTATATTCCAGCAGAGACATCTGTGTGTTCAGCTTGCACTCTTTCACGGAAGGATAGTTCCAGTTCTCAACTTACACCAGTTTGAGTACAGTGTAAACGAGCCATGGTTCAGTTATTTTGTTATATGGAAATGAGGACGAAATGTGTTTATCTAATTGCCTTCAGTTTAAAACCAAAACTGCTTGTATTTTGAGTGTTAGCTGCAGATAAGCAGGCAGTTAAGGAGCAGCACTAAAAATCGTAAGTGCAGTTGCCTAGAGGAAAGGTCAATGCTGAAATATACAAATTTTATTATATATAGCTGAGCACTTGTGAGTAGTCAGAGCTCACAAGTAAGGGAACCTGATAAAAATTTATAGAGGGGTAATACTTTTCTCACTATATTAAAGTTTTAATAATAAAGCTAAGGAAGAAAATGTGAAACTGCTTCATGTAATGTGGTGGAGGAGGACAAGATCCTTTTGTACCTAAATAATAAGAGTTCCAGGAACATCTGTAAACATCTGTGTGGGACTAGCAGGGCACATAAGAAGCTGGAAGCACAATCCCAGCAGAGGGTGAGCTGTATGTGGGTGACAGGAGTGTTAGCTGTGGCACTTGCAGAAGACTTTTGTTATTGCAGAAACATGCTTGAGGCTTGTGTGGCCTCTTCTGCAAAAGATGTATGCAATTAAATCAGCCGTGACAGGTGAACTTAGCACCTGCATCTCAAAAAGCCTTCCCTTGGCAAGAGAGCATTTTCCCAGTGTGAATGAGAGAGGTGCATTTTTTTAAAGCAGATGTCTGTCCATTGCATTTGCACATGGTGTTTATTTGTTGCAGAACACCCAAGGGTCATTAAGTACTGCTAAGTCTGGAACACTCTTATCTGTACTGCTCAGCGGGCCTGACTGATGCTTAGAATGTGCATCCTTTTGTACTGTCACTTCAAACACTGCGTGGAGGTGACTAAATGTACAGGAATAGTGACTTAAATATTGAAAATCAGCAACTAGTTAGGACTTACTAAAAAATTAATGGCTTTATTTTATCACTAGCAAAGAGTGTCTCAGGTCTTTTTTACTATAACTATTTGAGAAAAGAACACAATTTGAGATATTATCTGTTATGGGTAAAATAATAGCCTGGCATTGTGCTATTTTGTCCCTGTCAGCACTGTTGATCCAGCTGAGCTTGCACCTTTTACGTTGGGCTTTGTTTGCCCAGTTGTGGCACTTGGACTTAAACATATGCATGTACCCATCTCAAAATCAAGAAGAATGCACCTATATTTACACTGACATTTTCCTAATTAAACTTGGCTGTGGAGGCACCTGTCTACAAGACTACTGCTGTGATTACTAATGATTTGGGCCAGCAGATGTGCTAGTGACCATATCAGAGGTCATCTGGGCCAAGCAGCTTAAAACAAAGCTGAGGGAGAGGTGTGGCCTTTTTAAGGGGTGAAGGTGGAACGTGGAACAGGTGTATTGTGATAATGTTGGAAATCTGCTGTTGGGATGAGGAGCAGTTTTAATCTGAAAAGCCTGACTTGTTGCCCATGCTCTTAGGAACTATGACAAAAACTGAGGAAGCACTGTAAACTTTCAGGTACTTTCAAAGCAACTTGAGTGACTTCAGTGGGATAAGAGGTTGCTTAACTTCATGCTATGAAGTCTGATGCATTCCTGTCTTACCTTGTAAGTACTCTCCTGTTTTCTGGTTTTGACCAACTTTATGCTCTGAGACACAAATGGGAACAAGGAAAACTTACTACTTTGTTTTTAGAGTGGTCTTATACCAAAAGTAGAACTGCAGAAAGTTAATAAAACATCTCATTTCTTATTTTGCTATATCATGTGAATATCATACATAAGTGAGTGTAAGTAAGCATGACATTTTTTGTGACCCTGTAATACAGTAAGGAAAGTTGCTACAACTGCTGTCAGAGTATTGATTATAAAAACTGCATGCTTTACAGGAACGTAAGAGCTGAACAACAACTTTTTAAACAACTGATTAAATTATTCCCATTTATGCAGTAGGACCCATGCTTAGTACAGCACATATATTTCTGTTGTTTTGAGTGCAAGGATGTTCTTAGTTTCCAAGTGTTTATATGAATGTTCTGCTGGTAAAAAGTTCTGCATGTCACCCAGCTGCTGATACAACAGGGCTCTTTGCCGGCGCTTACGAAAGACAGTATTTTCTAATAAAAGATTAAATAGCCCTGAAAGCTCGTCCACCACTTCTTCATGTCTGCCTGTCTCAAATGTTTGGTATTAATACTTTTAGAAATGCAAAGTATTCTGTATAAGCCTT